GCTTTCAAGTCAGTTCAGACTTAGGTTGGCCCTGAGCGAGGACCGGGTAAATAACATTGGAGGGCCGTATCCGGCCTGCAGGCCTTAGTTTGAGAACCCCTGGTCTACACTGTAGCATAGATACTGAGAACTGGGAAGCCCTGACCCTTGAGTGCTCTAACTGGAGATCAGCTGTGACCAGCAGTGCTGCAGAATTTAAAGGGACACGAATGGATGGCGAAAGGGAGAAACATGCCAAGAAGAAGGCATGTCAAGCCAACCCTGACCGGGACTGCCTTCCATCTGGAAACCGATGTCCTCACTGCAAAAGAACATGTGGATCAAGAATAGGGCTCCACAGCTACCTACGGACTCACAGCCAAGACACTGAACTTGGAACTTGGCGGTTTTAAGCGATCCCTCAGGCTACGAGGGATCGCCTAAAACAATATAATAATTAAAATGAAGAATTTTAACAAATATAAATGTATTAGTATTTCAATGGGAAGTGTAGGCCTACCTTTGGCTGATGAGATAGAATTGTTGTTGTGGTGGTGTGCTTTCAAGTCAGTTCAGACTTAGATTGACCCTGAGTGAGGGCCGGGTAAATGACCTTGGAGGGGCGTATCCGGCCCTCAGGCCTTAGTTTGAGGACCCCTGGTCTACACTGTGGCATAAATACTGAGAAGCCCTGGCCCTTGAGCGCTCAAACTGGAGGTCAGCTGTGACCAGCAGTGCTGCAGAATTTGAAGAGATGCAAATGAAGGGTGAAAGGGAGAAGCGTGCCAAGAGGAAGGCATGTCAAGCCAACCCTGACCAGGACCGCCTTCCACCTGGAAACCGATGTCCTCAGTGCAAAAGAACATGTGGATAAAGAATAGGGCTCCACAGCTACCTACGGACTCACAGCCAAGACACTGAACTTGGAACTTGGTGGTTTTAGGCGATCCCTCGGGCTACGAGGGATCGCCTAAAACAATATAATAAATAAAATGAAGAATTGTAACAAATATAAATGTATTAGTATTTCAATGGGAAGTGTAGGCCTACCTTTGGCTGATGGGATAGGATTATTGTTGTGGTGGTGGTGGTGGTGTGCTTTCAAGTCAGTTCAGACTTAGGTTGACCCTGAGTGAGGGCCAAGTAAATGACCTTGGAGGGCCGTATCCACCCCCCAGACCTTAGTTTGAGGACCCCTGGTCTACACTGTGGCATAGACACCAAGAACTGGGAAGCCCTGGCCCTTGAGTGCTCTAACTGGAGGTCAGCTGTGACCAGCAATGCTGCAGAATTTAAAGGGACACGAATGGAGGATGAAAGGGAAAAACGTGCCAAGAGGAAGGCGTGTCAAGCCAACCCTGACCGGGACTGCCTTCCACCTGGAAACTGATGTTCTCACTGCAGAAGAACATGCGGATCAAGAATAGAGCTCCACAGCCTCCTACAGACTGCAAAGACACTGAACTTGGAGGAGCATCATCCTCGAGCTATGAGGGATTGCCTAAGTAAGTACTGTAAAAGTACACTGTGGCATTGATTCAGTTAGACACTGCTTTCGCAGTCATGGCTCAAGGCTATGGAATCCTGGGAGCTGTAGTTTTAAAAGCCACTTAAGAATGCCAAAGCACTCACCAGACTGCAAATCCCAACTGTGTTTATTGCCCAGTAGAGCAGTGGTTCTCAACCTTTCTAATGCCTTGACCCCTTAATATAGCTCATATTGTGGTGACCCCCAACCTTAATTTTTTTAATTGCTAATTCATAACTAATTTTGCTTCTGTTATGAATCGTCATGTAAATATCTGATATGCAGGGTGTGTTTTCACTTACTGGACCAAATTTGGCACCAATGATATGAGTCCACACTGACCATATAATGGAGATCCAGCCATAAATGCAGCCTCAGTAAACAAGAGCATAGGGTTTTGTTTGTTTTTTTTGTTTTGTTTTTTGTCATGTCAGGAACGACTTGAGAAACTTGAGAAGAGCATAGGTGGGATTTCAGTAAGGAATGATCTATCTCAATAGTACCCCACAATGTTATCCGGAAATGCTACAGGACACCAGCTCAACTAGCAAATATAGGAACAGGACTAAGCTCAATGTATTGGCATTGTAAAGTAGAGAAAGGCTGATATGAACGTATGTGGCGGGGCTGTTTAATTGCAATAACTTTTTGGGATAAGATAATTTTTTAAAATGGGAGAACTTTTCAAAATAACAATCCAAGTCAATATGGAATTTATACTGATGGCAAGCGCAGGGAATAAAACATTGCTGAGAAGAACCAAGATTTATTTAAAGCAATGATTTTAGCAGGAAAGGCGGTAATAGCCTGGGGATGGAGAGATGAAAAAAAATGGAATCTGGAAAATTGGAATAACTATTAATTTGAGCAAGTCCAATTAGATATTACTGCATGTATAACCCAAGAAGGTTCACTGGAGGACAAAACAAAAGAAATTAAAGATAAATGGGCAATTTATATGAAATAGGTAGAAGGAGTGAAATCGAGGTGGAATTTAAAAGGGTCTGGCCCTGAAGGAGAGACCCTGCGGACCCACCAAAGAGTGCTCGCTACAATGGTGAGCAAAGAGAAGCCCAATTTAAAAGGTTTTTCCTACGTTCCCCAAAGAAATCTCACCAAAGTTGAAGAAAGTGCCATCGAGATGATTTTATTGCGATTCAGCTGAAAAGGATGTAAAGCAGCAATATTTCGCCAAGCTAAGCATGCATGAGTACAAATAAAAGCCATTTTTATAGAAAAACAGAGTTGTCCGGTTTGAATCTCCCGCTCCCCGCCCAGCTTGAAGGTGATTGGCTGGCGCTTCAATAGCTGGGAGGAGGCTCGGCCGCCCCTCAAGCGCCTGGGCCAATCACAAGGCTTCTGCTGCGTGCCTGGTCCAATCATAGGGCTTCTGTCGCCTCGGTGCCTCAGCGAATCCGGAGAGAGGGAGGCGGGACAATGCATTATTGAGTGGATTATGGAAATTCAGGAAATGTCTAAGGGGCCGGCGAGTCCTAAAGGCCTACGAGATAGCCTTTCTATTGTTCTGAGTGGCTGCAATAAACATTGATATCAGGCAATACCGCCATAATCCGGATTTTCTTCCAGGTTGTGACATGGGGACAATGGGGGAAACTTAGGTGGATGTCTTAGTGAGAGAGATTGAATGGGTGACAGATCAGGACGTGAAACGGCTTTCCGAAGGCCTTCCTTTGTCCTAGTTGAGATTTAATCAAAATTGCCAAGCGGCCGTTTCCTCTGGTGGCCAAAACCTCCGATGCCAGAGGTCACGATCCTTTGTTATAGCCCATGCAAAGAGTGTCTTTTGATAAGGGTTCTTTCAACCATTAATTTCTTCCTTTCCAGGGGCAGGGCGGATTCCTTATATTTTTTTATACATTTTTTCCAAAGGGGAATGGGGCAAAAAGGGTCAGGAAAAGGTCAGATACACAGGGAGGAATATAGAAATATAGAAATAATGTTATAGAAAATATACCCACTTATCCCTCCCACCAGAGTCCCATAGAAGTTCAAGAGAGTGTAAAGGGAGATGGTTTCTTAGTCATAGATGTGCTACCTTCTGCTATAGATGAAACCTAGGGTATAAAACCTTGATTAAATGTACACACTACAGGTGGCTTAAAGCACTGAGCTGCTGAGCTTGTTGATCGAAAGGTCGCAGGTTTGATTCCGGGGAGCGGCGTGAGCTTCCGCTGTCAGCCCTAGCTTCTGCCAACCTAGCAGTTCGAAAACATGCAAATGTGAGTAGATCAATAGGTACCGCTCCGGCGGGAAGGTAACGGCGCTCCATGCAGTCATGCCGGCCACATGACCTTGGAGGTGTCTACGGACAACGCTGGCTCTTCGGCTTAGAAATGGAGATGAGCACCACACCCCAGAGTCAGACATGACTGGACTTAATGTCAGGGGACTACCTTTACCTTTTTACCTAACATGGGAAGGGTCCTTGTTGTTGTTAGTGTCTTGGCAAATTGACTAAGGCTTAACCCTTATTATCCAGTCTGGTGTCCTTGTCCTTAGCAAAACTATAAGTTACTATCTTTTTTTTGGGGGGGGGGGGGGTCATGTTCAACTTCAGGAGAAGCCAGCATAGATATTGTACAAAGATTAAAAAGATTGTGTTCGTGGTTAAAATAAAGATATAGAGAAAAAGGTTTCCCTATCTACAGCCCGGATTTCACTATCCGCAGCTGCTTTAAATTGCTCGATTTCAATGCTATTATCACAATATGGACTTTGGGTTCTGTAGGTGAGTTACACATAAAGAACTGAGCATGGTAAAGGAGGGAAGTGCACAAATACACGGTGCTCTTCAAAGCCTTCTTTCCCTGAATAAATTGAAAAACCTCCTCCTCACAGTTTAATATAAATAGTCAAACTGTTTCTGCCACCTCCTCTGTAGTGGATGTCATCCAGGCCAGTAAAACCATTAGTGTTTATTAAAGCAAATTATCTTAAGGTAGCAAAATAAAATAATAATTTATAAGATTGCACATTCGCATTTCCAAGCAGGCTTATGCTTCCAGTGCTAAATTGCAGGGAAAGCGACTGGTTTTCTTAGCTGCACCTAATTTGCATCCTCATTTATGTCCAGACACTTGCTCATATAGCAAGCCCAGGCATCCAAGAAATATTGTATGTCTATTTCAGTTAATAGTCTTAGAAAGTCATCTCTGTGGGAGAGATGACAGTAATGACATTTAGAAAATCCTAACTCAATAGGATGGCCATTTCATGCCATGCAGCTGCAAATTCTAACATGCTTCTCGCTTAGTTTGCTTTCAGACAATTATGAGAGACTTCCTCGGAAACTAAGTAAACAGCCTTTGCAGCTAGACATCTTGCAGGTCAAAAATTGATGTCATTTGAATATTTAAAACAGGTAAAGAATTTGAGCCTTTAAATGAAACATTAGTAATGTAACGGATATGGTGTTACACTCTCAACAACAAGCACCATTGCCCTGCAGAAGGATGAAGCTCTTCTTTGTTGCTGTTGTGGATTATTGTAGGGAATGTACCTGTTGGAGCCAATCTTCTTTCTTCTTATTTTGAAAAAGGAGGAACAGTACACTGACATGTGCCTGGGAAAACATGCCGCATAAAAGGATGTTTTTGAAACCATTGAGATCGCCTGTGAAAAATCCCTCGCCTACGGCTGAGAGGCCTTGAAATACTGCTTCTCCAAGCCACTAGAATGCCTGGCTGCTTCAAACAGACCGTGTTTGCTTTCATCGCTGCATTGAGCTTTGCATCTTTTATCTTGATCCTCATCGCAATGGGCACTCAGAAATGGATGACGGCAAAAATCCTTTGCAAAACAGGAGCCGAGCTGGTCAACGCCACAGACCCAGAGCTGGTAAAATTCATGGGGGAACTTTACTACGGACTCTTTGGCGGTGGCAAAATGCGACAGTGTGGGTTAGGTGGGAGGCAGTCCAGATTCACCAGTAAGTAACATGTTGGTTTCATTCCGAGAATGTATTCATACATGCATGTGTTTGCTTCTGGTGCATGTAAAGCAACTTTTGGGACATCTGGTTAAGAGCCCCTGAAATACTATCTGAAATTATTTTAAAATTGGTGTGGGAATTTATAAGTGAGGGGAGGACTCATTTCTCCTATTGGTCATGCAAAGAGGAAAGGTGTGGTCTAAAATTATTCCATTCCCCAGGAGAGGGGCCAAACCATATGGAAAAGATGAAGCAATTGTACAACCCAACAACAACAACAAAATATTGATGTCCAAGGCCTATTCCTGGGGTTATTTTGAGGACTTATTTAAAAAATTGCATTGGATATCCCATATCAACTCTCATTGCTTAGATATTAGTAATATGGTTTTCTATGGGCGAGCAGATGGCAACTGGTTGATGACATATGTTCTGTATCTCAAAAACTTGAGCTGATAAGGGAAAACTGCTGCCGTTTTTGGAATCAGTAGTCCAAATATACCCAGTACTATTGCACAACCATGTAGGACTAATTACAGTAATGTTATTGGTGAGGAGCCATTGAGAACTGCATGGAAACTTCAGTTCATGCAGACTATTATACCCACTAGCTTTATAATTGGTGCTCCTTCCACACAGCGGAATAAAATCCCACATTTTCTGCTTTGAATGGGAATATATGGCAGTGTGGACTTAGATAACCCCGTTCAAAGCAGATATGGTGGGATTTTCTGCCTTGATATTCTGGGTTATATGACTGCGTAGAAGGGCCCTGGGACTACATACTGAAGTCATGTTAACCTCACTGCTTAGAGACCTCATCACACTAGAGAATGAATCCAGTTTAAATCCAGTTGCTGCCTCTGCAGAATTTTGTGGTTTGTAGTTTAGGAATGAGCCGTTAACAGCATCACTCCCTCACAGGAGTTGCTCATCAGTTTCTGAGAATCCTCAAAATACTTCCAACCTATTAATAGTATCATTATCATTATTATTTATATGCAGCTTTTTCTCCCTTAACAGAGACTCAGCATGGTAAATAATACAATACACACACACACACACACACACACACACACACACACACACACACACACATACACATACACATAATAAAAGTGAAAATTGTGTATGTGGCCATGGTGTCTGCTTACACAGACAGCTTTCTGCCTTCACAAAGAGCTATAACCCACAGTGTTGAAGAGCCACCAAAAGCCATCCCCTCCAAGGACATTTCAAGTTACAGCGGGCGTCATGTCTCCCAAATCTTCCCAATGTCCTCCCCAGATACCATACTGCCTATCACCCAAGGAATGCTTTCATCTGGGGACAATGTTTTTCCTCCAGAATGGACATCTCAGTGTTCCGTTCTCTCTCTCCGTTGGTGTGGAATTTGCATGACCCCACCCACTGTCTTCCCCTTTACCCTTAACTACCCTTTCCTATGGCACATAACAAAAACTTGGGCACTGCTGGGTCCACAAGCTAGTATAATATAAAACTTAATGACTCTAAACACGAAAAGGGAATTAAACCAAGCACTATTAAATATGAATAATTAAAACAGTTTAAAACATTTAAACTCCAAAATAGATGATGATGATGATGATGATGATGATGATGATGATGATGATGATACAACTTTATTTATATTCCACCCTATCTTTCAAAGGAATTCAGGGCAGATTCCAATCACAAAAAAGGAAAACATTCAATGTCTGAACATAACAACTAATAGACACATAATAACGAAAATTAAACTCCACAGCATATAAAAACAAATTATAACTTAGCAAATTAGAATAAGATTTAAACATAACCTATTATATCAAACATGGAAAAAACATAAACATAAAAACAGAAGTACATTAAAGTACATTAAACACTTAACAGCACTCCTGGCTCGGTCTATAAAATTTTCTTCTTTAAAAGCCAACTTGAAAAGAAAAAAATTAACTTGCCACTGGAACAACAGGAGGGAGGGGGCCATTCTGGCTTCCCTGGGAAGAAGGGAGTTCCAGAGTCCATGGGCTGCCACTGAAAAGACCCTGTCTCTCGTTCCCACCATCCAAGCTTGTGATGAGGGTGAGAACGAGCAAAGGGCCCTTCCTGAAGATATCAGGGCCCAGGCAGGTTCATACTGGGAAGTATGAACTTGCCTGAGCAATACAGAGCTTTGAACACCATGTACCAGTGTTCCCAACCTTTGGTCCTCCAGGTCTTTGGGACTTCAACTGTCAGAAGTCCAAACCATTTTGGCCGACTGTCAGGAATCTAAAACACCTGGAGGACCATTGCCAAACACCACGTGGAACCCAGCAATTTTAAGGAACGTGTTTCCACTGTAATCTATATGTACATGAAGATAGCAGGTGAAATATCTTCTGTTGAGCTGTGCATTGACTCTTTTTTTCAATAGTGATATTTTACCTGTGGGCATCCTTCCCTAGAACAGGTCACGTGGCAATGCATCCTTTTGCCAGGTGAAGATATTTTACCCTATACTTTTAATGAGCCATACTAATAACACCATAAATGTGCTTTTAAAAATAGTGGGGTATGGTAATCCTGCTTTGGCTAGATCCCTACCATGAAGGCAAACTGATGGCACCTTCTACACAGCTGTATAAATAGTACTGCTTTGAACTGGATTATCTGGCAGTGTAGACTCAGATAATCCACTTCAAAAAGAATAATGGGGACTATCTACCTTGATATTCTGGATTATATGTCAGTGCAGAAGGGCTCTAAGGCCCTTTGTACACTGCCATATAAAATCCAGATAATCTTTGAACTGGATTATATGGCAGTGTACACTCATATAATCCAGTTCAAAGCAGGCAATATGGATTATCTGGTTAGATAATCTGGATTATATGGCAGTATAGAAGGTGCCTAATGGAGTTTTAGGAGTCCTCTTTTCTCATTCTAATCTCATGGTGTGTATATCATGTGGAATAGCTTGACACAACTTTAATTGCCATAGCTCAATGCTATGAGGTTATGGTAATTGTGTTTTACAAGGTCTGTAGCCTTCTCTGTCAAAGAGGTTTGGTCCCTCACCAAACTACAAATCCTGGAATTCCATAGCACTGGGCCACAGCAATCAGGCTGCATTGATACTAAAGTGTAGATGAGCTTAAAGTCAGGGATTCCTACCTTTCTGACTGGGAAGAAGCTCCTGTTTTACCTCCTTTGGATCCTATATACCTGGGAGATCCTGCAATTAAAATCCAGCTAATACCAAGGACTCAATGTACACACTGTATTTCCCCTGGAAATTGCTTTTCAGTGCTTCTGAATCGGGTTTACACTGTAATCAACATCAGTGCAATAGATCCATTCCTTCACTTCACTGGAATTTGAGTAAATGGCCTGTTAGAAATAGGGCGTAACTGTTTAAAAGTTAACCGTGAGGTGAGATGCTTTGTTGCGTCCATAGAAAGGAAGAAAATTGCTCTTGACTCAAAGATCAGTTCAGACATGCACACCGGGCTAAAATGCCTACATAAATCAAATTATGATTTGTTGTACAAGCATCCTGTTTTGTTTAATTTATATAGAGTTACTGGTAAATCCAACAATAGTTGTATCTAGAGTTGCAGTTAATAGGGTTTAAATGTATTGTCGAAGGCTTTCATGGCCAGAATCAGTGGGTTGCTGTAAGTTTTTCAGGCTGTATGGCTATGTTTCAGAAGCATTCTCTACTGACATTTCACCTGCATCTATGACAGGCATCCTCAGAGATTATGAGGTCTGACTTAAACAAATTTTGTGGAACAAAATCCATTGATAAGTCCAGAGGTCCTCAAACTTTTTAAACAGAGGGCCAGGTCACAGTCCCTCAAACTGTTGGAGGGCCAGATTATAATTTGAAAAAAAACAAAACAAAAAAACATGAATGAATTCCTATGTAAACTGCACATATTTTATTTGTAGAGAAAAAAAACACTTAAAAACAATATAGTAATTAAAATGAAGAAGAATTTTAACAAATTGTTATTAGTATTTCAATGGGAAGTGTGGGTCTGCTTTTGGCTGATGAGATAGAATTGTTGTTGTTATTGTTGTTGTGTGCTTTCAAGTAGTTTAAGACTTAGTTTGACCATGAGTGAGGGCTGGGTAAATGACCTTGGAGGGCTGTATCCGGCCCCCAGGCCTTAGTTTGAGGACCCCTGGATAAGTCCATTGGACAAATGTTAGACCTATCTGAAGAATTCAGATTTTTTTGGTATAGTATTTTTGTATGTATGGTCAAACTTCATAGCATCCTTTTGCTCTCCTACGTTTGTTAAAAGAAACACCTCAACTTTGTTTACTTTCTTTGTCAGTATTTCCACACTTGGTGAAAAAGCTGAACACATCCCTCCACGTGGTGATTATTCTCTTCCTTTGCGTGGCGTTTTCTTTCGCTCTGGTCAGCTTGGGATTCTGCGTCTTAAACATCCTCAAAGTTCCCTACCGGGCTATTAAAGGTCCAGGAGGAATCGCCCTGTGGAATGTCCTTGCAGGTAAAAGTTAACTGCATACACAAAACGCTTATTTGGATGTGGCTGGTCAAACATGTGAGAGGCCCTCATACATTTGAAGGCATAATTTACAATCAAAATTTAAAGGATGTACGGTAACTGATTACATTCCATTCAAAATATTGGCATTGACCATCTAACCAGTATTTATACAGGCAGTCCTCAAGGTATGAACAAGATAGGTTCTGTAAATTTGTTTTTAAGTTGAGTTTGCATGGAAGTCAGAACAGGTACATTTTAAAGTGTAACTCTAACCATATATGTATGTATATGTGTGTGTAGTAGTAGTAGTAGTGTGTGTGTGTGTATATATATACATATATAAGCTTTGGATGTGTGTGTGTGTGTGTTTGAATGGAGCTCCCAGTGATGCAGCAGGTTAAAATGCTGAGCTGCTGAACTTGTGACTGAAAGGTTGGAGGCTCAAATCCAGCTAACAGCAGGCTCCCGCTGTGAGTCGATCAATAGGTACCACTCTGAAGGGAAGGCAACAGTGCTCCATGTAGCCATGCTGGCCACATGACCTAGGAGGCATCTACGAACAATGCCAACTCTTTGGCTTAGAAATGGAGATGAGCACCACACCCCAGAGTCGGGCACAACTCGATTTAATATCAAGGGGAAACCTTTACCTTTACCTTTAAGCTTTGGATATTATAGGGAAGGATGAACACCCCTGTAGTGTTTGTTTTGCTGTTTGTGCCTCTGTTCAGAAGATTTCACCTCATTTTCCATCTCTGTGATAATTGGATTTTGAAAAATGCGGCTTGTTGTGGAAACAAGGATTGGTGATAAAGCTTTAATGGAAACACCTTTTACCCATGATAAGTCTTTTCAGAGTGATTTTCCCTTCCTAAGGGTAGATTTCTCTCGTCTCCTGTAGTCTCACCCACGTTCTTAACTATGAGTAGTTTGTAAGTCGGACATTTGCAAATCGGGTATTGCTTGTGAAATATTTAAATCCTACTCATTATCATGGGTTTTCAGGCTTGCATATAGTATGACTAATTTTTAAAACATACACAATTTAAAGAGGAAACATATTAAACAAGTAAAACAACTTTAACAACTTTACATTTCAATGTAAATTGGTCCCCCAAGGCTATAACAAAAAGCCATCTATTGCTAGGTTGTCAAAAAGAAGCCAGATTTGGTGTCGAGACTTTCAACTGAGGTGCCATCTACACAGTCATATAAAATCCAGATTATATGCTGTGAACTGGATTAAATGGCAGTGTAGACTCATATAATCCAGTTCAAAGATAATCTGGATTACCAGTTTAGATAATCTGGATTATATGGCAGTGTAGAAGGGGCCTTCTCCCATTTCCTCCCATTTCATATTTCCCTCATTGATAGGATGCTGGGTGAGACTACTCCTGCAAACCATAATTCTCAGGCAGGCATATATAGAGCATTTCTTATGAACACACCATGATGTTTTCCTACAAGTTTAATTGCACACCAGTTTATATAGTGCAAAAATGGATGAGAACTTATTCATCATAGCAGGTCCACTTTTTATTTTGATAATTAGAAACTATTTTTCAATATCAGGACATGCAAGTAGAGGTATATCCCCATTAAAAAAGTAGATGTGTTTCTGGGAATTACTTCTTTAAAAAGAACATTTGATCATAAAGGCAGGAATAACATGGAAAGAATAGGAACAGATTCTTGCACCACCAAAAAAGAAAAGCAGCTAACCATGTTTCAAACAAACCGTTTCTTAAAAAAATAATAATAACGAGGCATACGAAAATGAAACAACCGAATCATATAAGCCTCTTTTAACTAAGCAAAAGGAGCTTTCTCTAACTTTATTGCATTTACTGTAGACACGTAACTGAAACCCGGCACTCAAGATTTGAGTATTTCCAGCCCTCCCTCCTCATCCTTCCAATACTGATGCTGCTAAAAGAACTGTCAGCTGGACAAAAGGAAAGGAAAGGAAGAAAAAGAAAAGCGGCAAGAAAAGCCTGTGTAAAATGGATCTTCTCTGTTAGAGGCTTTTAAAACCAAGATGTGCCCATAGTTTCCCTTGCAAAAAAAGCAAAAAAAAAAAAAAATCAGTGTCAGATAACATTCTTAGATACTGATTCTTTGATGAATTCTGACAATATCCCTTAGGATTACCTGGATGGAAAAACATTTGGGCGTCTCCTGGGCAATGTCCTTGCGGACAGCCAATTCTCTCACACCAGAAGTGATTTGCAGTTTTTCAAGTTGCTCCTGACACAACAAAAAATCTGGTTGTAGACCCTTTTTTCTCATCTGATCAAGGTGATGGATGCCAGGGAAGCTGGGTCAACAGAAGACCTTGCACAATAGGCCATGTTTCTGCTTGATGCAAGTGACAAGATGAAACCCCATATTGTATGTACTGTCTGAAGGCAGCTGGGATGGCTTTTCCAGTATTTTGATGGAAAAACATCCCCAATAGCAACTGAGGAATCAAGGCTAGTTTTAAGAGATAGAAGATGGGGAACGTGGTGCACATAACCGTGTCTTTTAAAACCTTGCTGTGACACTCTGCCTCTGTGGCATCGGCTGGCTGAAGAGGCCCTAATAAGCCTCTTTCTAGAGAAAACAGCTAGGTCTTTGCTTAATTAACTGTCCTAGCTTAATTAAGTTGACTCAGCATCCACTTCCCAGACATCCTTTATCCTGACACTGCAAAACCACTGATAAGGCTTTGTTTCTAAGCATTGAACCACTCTCGGCTGAACATGTGAACTGGCCCCATTGAAATGCCATCAGCTCCCCACAGCCATTACAGTTAGGGGCAAAGGACCCCCAGGAAAATAAATTCTCTAGGATTCCCTAGTTTCTTCAGCATGGCTCTTATGGTTAACTTTCACAAGATTTTCACCACAAAATTGCACGTGAGGACCTACAGATTCACAGCAATTACATTTTAATCAAATCTGCAAAAGTCAGACCTACAAATGAGAACAGCCAACAGGATGCTTCATTTCAGGTGACGGTGGGTGGCAAATTAGATTTCTCTGTGGTTAATTCGGTTATATAAGAGTTGGTCTATTGTACTAGTATTAATAGTAACAATGATAATGCTAATAGAAATAATAATTTCTTCCTCCCCCCCCCCCCCCCCCCCCGATCAAGGCAGGAAACAACAACGTATTAAAATAAAACATAGAAATAAGTTATTCGGTATTCAGTCACAATTATAGTTGAGAGATGCCATTCTTGTTCTTAAACTGATGAACCTAATCTTTCAGTAGAGCCTGAACATCCCTTATCCAGAGTTCCAATATCTGAAATACTCTAAAACACAAAATTGTCCATGAGTTGCTGAAACAATTATTCCTTTGCTTTCTGTAGATTTCAATGTACACATTGTTTCATACACAAATTGAGTAAAAATTACCTTCAGTCTAAGTGTATGAGGCACACATTAAACATCATTAATTTTGTATTTAAACTTGAGTTCCATCTCCAAAATATAATTTATACATCTATATAAATAAAAAGGAATCATTTTGATTCCAAGTATTTCAGATAAGGGACACTCAACCTGTGTAATCGTATCAGAGGATAGAATGATTCTAATAAAACTGAATTTCTTCAAGACTCTTAACATGACCATCAATTCAAATACAATTTCTTAGAATACACCTTCTTTGATTAGAAATCTATTTGGAAATATATGGATAGTATGATTTTTAGATTCTTCAGAAATGTCCTTTGACAACTAGTCATCAGAGAAATGCATCTAGTGAGTCCTTTTTTGGGGGATACTATTTATTTACGATATTTATATGCTGCCCTTCTCACCCCAAAGGGGACTTAGGGCAGCTTACAAGTCATATGTACATACAACATACTATATTATTAGCATAGTACTAATACATCATTCATAATATTAGTATTATATAATATTATATTGTTGCTGGGGGAGGGGCTCTGATGTCACAAGCGACAAAATGGAACTGTCTTCTCAGCTCCCTTCTTTACTCTGGCCCCAGAGCGGCCGTTGGTGCTGGGGGAGGGGATCTGATGTCACAGGAGACAAAATGGAACTGTCTTCTCAGCTCCCTTCTTTACTTTGGCCCCAGAGTGGCTGTTGGTGCTGGAGGAAGGGCTCTGATGTCACAAGAGACAAGATGGAACTGTCCTCTTGGCTCCCTTCTTTACTTTGGCCCCAGAGTGGCTGTTGATGCTGGGGGAAGGGCTCTGATGTCACAACAGACAAGATGGAACTGTCTTCTCGGCTTCCTTCTTTATTTTGGCCCCAGAGCAGCCATTGGTGTTGGAGGAAGGGCTCTGATGTCACAGGAGACAAGACGGAACTGTCTTCTCGGCTTCCTTCTTTACTTTGGCCCCAGAGTGGCCGTTGATGCTGGGGGAAGGGCTCTGATGTCACAAGAGACAAGATGGAACTGTCTTCTCGGCTCCCTTCCTACTAGTCTTTCTGGAGAAAACCACGTTTCAGGAACAGGTTTGGCCTCTGTTGGCTGTTTGTGCAGATGGCTCATATTAACGTTCAGTGGTTTTCAAAGGATGCAAAAGCATTTAGTGTTGAAAGTAGCAGCCTTCTCAAGCCTCCACTAGTTATTTGTTATGTATATAGTTGCTTACTGTATGGTATGTGTGTATTGGTTTGCAATTTTACCTGACTTCTTTGTTGTGGGAGGGGTTGCAGATCATATGATCAGAACTGAGCATGTTCAGGATTCTGACTCCATTTTAGTTCAGTGTTTGCTTTAGACTCTTAGAGAGAGTAGAAGCCGTCTTTATGCTTTAGACTTCGATGAAGGAACAGTATGTTTACAGACTTATTAGACTCTCAAAATAGAGAGGTGTTGGGCTATGGAATATTATTTCTAAGGAAAACGTCCTATGTTACCTACACAGGGAAACTACTACAAAATTCCATTCTAACAATTCATAAGCAAAGTGCCTGTATGCTGTATACATGAAATTTTGTAAGTAAACCAACTCTGTTACTTTGAAAGAAGACTGTTTATTTTGTCTCTTGAGAGCATGATTTAAAGACAAATATATTTTATGGGAGAGTAGATGATTTTGGGCAACTTCAAGAAATACTTCTGAAACTCTGCTGAATATGTGTTTTTGTGCATTGACATGTGTAAAACACGACGAACAAATGACAAACAAACAAACAAACAAATATATAACCAGGGCAATGAGGAGACTAAAGTAATGGTGGTGCGTGCAGCTGAGGCTTGACTTTTATAATGTTTTTACTTGAGGCACTTCTTTTTAAAAGGAGTAACTCAAATCACAATCCTTTCTTCCAATATCTTCAACCGCCTTCTTCTGAGGTAAATTTTCTTCTCAATAAATGGGCATGAGTCTTAATTATAAAGAACTGATCAAGGAAATATTTATTTATGGATTCACAGGTGTACAACTCTTCATGGTTATTCTGTATTCCTTTCAATGTTGTTACAGTTTACTTTAGTTAAACAGTTTCCAATATAACGCTCAGAATGGCTTTTACCTCCATCAGACTGGTTTTAAACTTATTTCACTACAAAGTATCTTTCTTTCCTTAACTGACAATTCAAGGCACTGACTTGCCTTTTTTTTCCTTTCAGCTATCCCCACTGAAGTTATGGATTTCTACTGGGGTTTCTTTTCCCCTTAGCTCACGAGCTAATTACTAATTTAAACAGGTCCAATTGACTCTGAAAACACACAGGCTGGACTGAAACCCCTGGGTTCGGTTTCTCCACACACCAGAACACAGCTTCCACTTTTATCCACTGACTAAAAGAAACTGACTCTTTTAAAGTGCCTGCCCCTGCCAAGTGGCAGTTAGCTCCGCCCCTTTGGCTTCTCTGACTTGGATACATTCTAACAGCCAGTTCCGTCACTGTAGCAACGCCTCAGCTCAGGCAACACATAAGCTGGCCTGCACTTATCATATCCCAACATCAATAAACACATTTAAAACATACATTATAATTAGCTATTTCATTACATTATGCCCCTACCCCTAAAATATTGCTGGAGATGAGAGTAAACCTCATTGAAAGCAATATATAACACCTATATCATATATAAACAAGCATATAGATTAACAATCAGTTTAAAAATAGATAGCATGGGCTACCCTTTGTTGCATTCAGATATATTAATAAATGTTTTAAATTTTCTTACAGGGGTTTTTGCAGTGTTGGCAGTAACTAGCTTCATGGCTGCTGTTGAGTTGCATAACCTTACAGAAAGGATTGCCAATTTCCGGGAAAATGTCTTCCAGTTTGTCATCTTGGAAGAACAGTATCAGCACTGTTTTTGGCTTTGTGTAGCAAGCGCAACCATTCACGGTGTCAATTTGCTACTGGTTGCTTTCAGCTTGATTCACTTCCCTACACTAAAGACCAAGCCAGAAGAAGCCAATGTTACAGCTGAAGACATCATGTACTAAACATCTGCCTCTCACTTGCTTTGTTTTAAACATGTGTGGTCTATTTTAAGTTATTAACACTGGCAAGGGATTACAAGATGTGGAGAAAATATCGAGCAGCACCACAATTTGGGTTATTTCGGCCAGTGCTGAGGCCCAGGGCTCTCTGATCAAGTCATGTATTCCATTATTCTTCTGGGAAGACTGGAAACAGCACAAGTCTCCTGTTTTTTCACCTGTTGTGCCAAACCTTTCAGGATCCCAGAACAGAGCAAGAACATTCTTCTTTTGCTTAATGGCATCTTGCTCAGAGACCAGCAAAATCCTGAATTAAGAAACAAGGGAAGAGGTTTACCTCAGGGACATATTTTTCTCTTCTTCTATAGTCCTTAAACAATGGCACCACATATTGAACTGTGACTCTGGGGGTAGTGTAACAATGCTAAATGCAGATCTCCCCATGCAGAAATCTGTACATAGGTCGATGTGAGAAAGACTAAGCTAAAAGAATCCCATCTCTTTTATTGAGATAATGTATGGACTTTTATTCCGACATGATGTACCCCTGTGGGGTGTGGACCATGTGCTTTTTTGGACAGCTTTTCATAATAAGAGGAAGCAAGCACCGAGTGCCTGGCTGTTCCCCAAAGTTTTTTTCTCTCTCTGCTGGACTGGTTCAAATTATTCTCTTTTCCTCCACACAAAAACTGTGTCGATATACTCATATCTGTCATATCATGCACTTTGTGGGTAAGGCACTAGCAGTCTTTCTGGGGATTTGTTGACACTGGGAAAAATGGATCCCAAATGGACAACTGACTGTCCCTATGATGAACAGTCATGTCCAGTTTATAAGGTTTTCCTCTACTTTAAACAGACTTTGACCTGCTTTGGGCCAAGTCAAGGGTTTGCTGAAAACTCCCAAGTGTCCTGTGGCTTCAGAGCAGTCTGGAGAGCAGGATAGATTCTGATATGGTTCAATCCTCCATCCAGATTAAACACCCTTGCCATCGCAAGGGGATGGATTATGTCCATGTCATTACTACTGTTTCCCCAAGCTAACCTCAAAGCTCTGGCTTGGTGTGCATGCACCGTGCTGGGGAAGCTTGCATCTTACCTTCTCCATGTCACCACAACTGCTGGTCTTAGCTGACCATGGAGCTCCACTTGAGACCTGGTCATAGTGGGCACCTTTACTAACATCAGAATGGGGTGCCATCATGAGCAATCTCCTCTTCTTTTTTGCTATTTGCGTGGCACCAGCTGAGAAGTCCACAATAGCCAGCTCAGATAGAGATCCATGTCCAGCTAGCAGCAGTGATGGTGGCAAAGTGAAACTGGTTAAATGTGGGCTGCACTAGCAGAGATGATGGACCCCTGGCCAGTCTTGACAACAGTCCTAGATTCAACATGAATGTGATGAATTTTGGGCTACTCTGGGGCACATTTAGACCAAGCTAAACTGCCCAGCAAAAATTAGTCCTGAGAGTTTCCCAAATTACATTATGTTCTTACTCTGTATCATGGTATGGCACCACGTGCGTTTAAGAAACTGGATGTGTGTATGACATAGATCCTCACTCCTAGAATGTGTTAGCCTAAATAATTTATTAGCCTAAAGTATTAGGAGAAGAGTGGCCTCCCGGATATGCCAAGTATATGAGGAATAGTTGGAGCTGTATTCCAACAATATCTCAAAACCAAAGTAATATATTTCACTTTGAGAGTCTTATCTGGTATCACCTCTTTTTGTGCTTCATACAAATAAATGCAGCAAAAATCTCATAGGAAGCAGGAGATATTTCTCCGTTGGGAGAAAACACTGGGAGAATTAAGAGTCCATCAGGAAGAAATCCTATTATGGGACAACCTGTGTGTTTTCTAATCATCGTAGCACCCATGGATTTTGGCTACTTTGTCCATGGATCTGGGGGCTGTTCTTTGAGAAGATACAAAAAGGGAGAACTTTGCATCTTTCCAAGGACCAAACGTATGTTCTGGAATTTGTACATCTGTCTGATAAGGAGATTTCCACTGTGCATGACCAGAACATTTCAATCCACACTGTATTTTGATGCAATCAGAATAGAGAGAAAAACATCATCTTTGGAGGCATTGTAACAGAACATGTCTGTTATTATCAAATTACTCGTGGAGTATTTTTCTTCTTCTTCCCAACTCTAAATATCCACCATAACTTGAGAGGAAATTAAGTCTTGATTCATTTTTGGTTAATTATCAATATTATACTTGACATCAGAATAAAGAAACTATTCTGCTGTTTTAAATTTGTATACAAAATTGAAGACACATTTAATAGGAGATGTAATATTGCGCAAGAATATCCTTACAAAAACCATTGAAGTCCATATTTTCTATTTTTTCATGGGTTATAGAAATGGAAAAAGTTTCAAGAGGAAAATAAACTGCAGGGGTAACTGACCACATAAGAGGAAAATAATTGTCTTCATCTGTCTAAAAAAAGTTTAGAAAGCCTTCATTCATTCTGAGACTAAAACTATTAACAGGAGAGAGGGTTTAAAGGGTAATCTGAGCGAAAATTTAGCACGAAAAAGGAACACTGGCCTTTCAAAATTGGAACAAGTACTCAAATGTGAAAACAATGTGTGAAAGTATGCTACTTCATTCTTTCAAAATGCAGTGAGATTTTTTGAAGGAGGGAGCTTTCTTTATTTGTGGATGCTCTCTACGAACCTAGAAATCTGAATTCAGGAGGGTTCTGAATAGTGGAGTGCCTTCATAGATAGAGGAAACTCTCCCTTTGATAGTTGCATCCTCTACATGAGAAGTACAGCAGGAATCTTTGTGGGAAGGTGTATTCTTCCCCTCTTTTTATGTTTAGCTTACATAGAAAAGAAATGACTGCACAGATCTTGCGTAACTGAGGGTGTTTCCACACTGTATAGTTAAGCAGTTTGACACTACTTTAAGTGCCATTGCTACATTCTTTGGAATCCTGGGTAAAGTGATATCAAACTGCAATAATCCTACAGTGTGTATATACCACATATAAAGGTGGCCAGGAAACAGATAAGTGTAAGGGAGAGAGATAATAGACATCTCTAAGAGCAAAGAACCAGAAGGGGACACTAAGGGAAGATGGAAAGAAATATTCTCTGCATGGCTCTGAAAAAGGTTTTAATATGCTAGCAGGTGTTCTTCACCAGGAGCCCTGGTGCCTCAATGGGTTAAATCCTTGTGCTGGCAGGACCGCTGACCGACAGGTCAGTGGTTTGAATCTGGAGAGAGCGGGTTGAGCTCCCTCTGTCAGCTCCAGCTCCCCATGTGGAGACATGAGAGAAGACTCCCACAAGGATGGTAAAACATAAAAAAGATCTGTGTGTCCCCTGGGCAACATCCTTGCAGATGGTCAATAATCTCACACCAAAAATGACTTGCAGTTTCTCCAGACATGAAAAATAGTGTTCTTCAACAATATAAGTTAAACCACCACTGGCTCCTACACTGCCTTATATCAAAAGATTTGATCCAAGATTATCTTATCTCAGATTATATGGCAGTGAAGACTAACAAAGTAGATAATCTAGGATCAGATCCTGGGATATAGAGCAGTTTAGATCCAACCTCTCTCTGGAGTGTGAAACAGCAAGAAAAAATGTCTGGAAGAATGTCAAATTCATGGTTTGCAATTTTGAAAAGGTCAGAAAATAAAGCTGTCACCTTCATTCACCCACTGTTTCCAGATACTGTTAGGATAATCTCTTTATTAATGACCTCAAAGTTCCAAAGCAGTTAGCAAATTTGTAAGACATTCTGACTAGGGGGCTGTTATTGCACAAAATTATTCGTTACCCTTTTACAGAAAAGCGGTATATTTAACAGTAATTTCAGTATTAGCTGTTATCTGCGACAATGGGGGTGATATGGTGGTGTGGGAATGGTGTTTTGCCCTTCAAATGGCCATTAGGACCTGCTAATAATTTTCAGTAATGTTCAGTCTAACAGAGCCCTAAGGTGTATCTACACAGTAGAATGAATAGTTTGACACCGCTTGTGTAGCTCACTCTTTGGCAGAGGAAGTTAAAGTCTTGTAAAACTACAACCATGATTCTATAATGGTGCCAAACTACATTACTTCTCGAGTCTAGATACAGCTCTAGTCAGTGGACCGTAAGCTCACACAGCTCAGCTGTACTGCTCAAATAGTGCTAAACAGTGTTATCCAGAGGCAGTATACAGGGCAGTAGGTAAAACTTAATCTTCAGTTTAAAAATTATCCCTGCTTCCCTAGTTAATACAACTAAAGATGTACAAAGCAAAGATGGGTTTATGTTACTATAAGTTAAAAATAGTTAGTATTGTGAGTTAGGGAATGTATCTAGAAAAGTGGAAAGATTGATTCTAAGTTAAATAAGAAGTATTTCACAAACATAATGTGAAATATGGTGGATTCAATTATTGTGAGAAAAATCCCAGTACACAGCAAAGGCAGTAAGTCAGAAAATATCAGAGACCACAGTAGGGGGAAACACAATTGGGAAATGCCTCCTACTTTGTGCCCCACATTTGGATTTCCACAGGCAATAATCTGGCTGGATGTTGTGGGGGAAACCGTTACTGTGGGTTTTTAATGTTGGGAGTGAGTTTTATTACATTTATAATAGAAACAGCACCTTAATTGCTGCATGTTTTCAGACATCCCACTTTTGGATTCTATTTCATTTTTTTCAATAGTGGTATGTTAATACTCATTTTCAGAACAATTGTTTGTTGTGTGTGCAGCCCATTCATGTCCCTAAGGATGGAAAAAAGTATGCAGCTACACTGCCTTAAATGCCACCCAAACTCTCAAACACACTTAGCTTCACAGATGTTCCCAGTTTTCTGTATCATCCAACATTTCACGGATGAAAACTGGGGAGCTAAATATCAGAACACAATCAAGATGACCAAAGTTATTTGTAAGGAAGAAACCACAAGCTAAGAGGATGGAACTGTTTGCTTTTGCCTAAACTCAATTGAAAGCAGATATTGTGGGAATTTCTACTTTGATATTCTGGGTTATATGGCTGTGTGGAAGGGCCCTAAGAGATATTCATGGAAAAACCACTGCAAAACAGTGCTGCAGGATGTCACACAAAAAGTTTTTGGCAGTTTAGTCAACTTTTCCCATCTTTTTATTTTTATGATAGAAACAATGAGGAAAGGACATTTATAACCCAGGAACAAAAAGTGTGTTTACATAGTGTACTGGGACTAATGGGACTTGAGTATGTATGTCTATTAGGGTATTTATGTGGGCTCTGGAAGCAAATCCCAGTGGAAGCCAAGGACCCACTGTAAACGCAAAAGCACATTTGGCACCACATAACCTTATTTATTTATTTCTACCCTGCCTTTCTCAACCCGGAAGAGGACTCAAGGTGGCTTACAAATCCAGCAAAAATTCAATGCCACACAAGTAAACAATAAAACACATCTCATAAAAATACAAACAATCTAAACCTTAGGGCCCTTCCACACAGCCATATAACCCAGAATATCAAGGCAGATGACCCACAATAGTGGCTTTGAACTGGGTTATCGGAGGTCCTTTCCACACAGACGAATAAAATGCAAAACATTGAACTGAGATATATGGCAGTATGGAATGGGGGCTCTTCCACACAGCCCAAGATCCCAGAATATCAAGGC